TCTGATGTAGAGTGTTCTTTTAAAACAACGCCAAGAATTATTTATAAGCCTCTGACGAAGCATGCAGAATCAAGAGGCACAATCCTGGAGCAACTAAGGAAGATCTGCTTTGAAAATCGGAAACGAATCGTTCAAAAATGCCAACCACCACTTGTAACTCACGCCAATCAATTGGCAAGTAAAGGCACCATTCACTCTACCCACGACGTCTCGTTTCCTCTAAAAAAGTGATTCCCGATACCTACCACATCAACATACAGAAGACTGGCAGTTAGCAAGTTCTACGCTACGTCTCCAGCTACGATCAACTGGCTAACAAATCTCAACACCCTATGCAAACTCATATCTATTTCACTCGGACCTGACTAAAGCCAGGTCCAAATGAAAGTGGCTAACTGTTATGATAATTTACCATCTAAAAATAAAGATATCGAGAGATTGTTTCCATAGTCTTAAAGAGGGCGTGGTCCAAACCAACTTAGAGGTCCAAAAGCCCAGCAAAGGTCAAGTCTATCGGCCAGCCGAGCAGACGAGCCATCTTTCGATCAAGGGTCATCATGACCGACTCGAAGTGCGGGATCAGTCGGTCCCTCGTAATTAAGATGACTCCTCGAGCCGACGTCTCGACCATACACTCGACCCAAAGCTCACTCGAGTATCGGGTTAGCAAATCATAATGATGACTCGCAGATTAACCCGTCTCGACTAAAGGGATAAGATCCGACCAAGCTTACTTTAGATGTCAATCGACACAACATCATTGATCAGTCCTATCGAGATCTCCGCTCTGATAAATCCCATGCATAAGCCGCTTATTCTCCTCACAAGTCATTTCCCAGAGATCACCATGATGCTCTCCTGGGCTCGAGTGGTTTCCCCTCCAATAACCAGCCGCTATCTGGAGGGGGAAGGATGACCAAGTAGCTGGCCTATACTCTGCCCTACTTCATATGTCAAATCTAGGGTACTGAGAAGATATTTCTCTCCAGTACTCGAATGATTTCCCTTCCAATCACCAGCTAACTTCTGAAAGGAGAAGGATGACTCAGCAGCGTGTCTGGTCACCCCTTAACTGCCTCATGTGCATAGTCAAAGCTAAGAGTCAAACTCTCAGAGGCAAGGAGCTATAAAAGGAGGGAAAGAAGGTAAAAGAGGAGGATTCTTTTCTGCTATTTCTTCATAAAAGCTCTGAATTTATCTTTGCTAAAAAGTACCTCAATGGCCCAGGGGACTCTCCCTCAAATCCCACTCAAAATCACCAGCTGACTTGACCGTCGGAGGTACCACGGGGGAAATGATCCCCGCCCTTCCATGGGTTTCTTCTTGTTTGTGTAGAAGGATTAGGAATTCTAGTCTAAGGACCGAGCATAAAGTCAGAGGAGGAGTCGGCTCCATCTCTCACCCTCTCCCTCTTCATCACCAGCATGGAGACCAGAACCACTACCCCATCGACTGTGTGTTCATGGATATCAACAAAACCTAACCTCTAAAAACTAACATCATTGAGTCTTATCTATTATGTGATAAGTACTTGACTTGAAAAGACCAAAATATCAATCAATCATAAAAGAATTGCCTTGGCTTTTGCCAGATAAAAGAGGTGATATAGAGGAAAAAAGAATTGTAAATTAGTTGTGATCCTTTTATCATCAATTGAGGATTTCTTTTTAATTAAAATTGCTTTCTTTAAGAGGGTATTTTGTCCAAATCACATATTGAAGTAACTACCTTAATGGGGTTTGTTGATAGAAGTGTAAACGATTAGGGAAGTTTTTATGAGATATGCTATAGTTGAGAGGTGTTTTCTAAAATTACACCAAAGTTGAGAGGGGTTATCTATAACACCCAACATAATAAGGGGGTTTTGTCAAATTGAATCAGTTAAGTGAGTTTTTTAAGACAATCCCCATAGTTAAGAGGGTTTTTAAAAAACTAACATTTCTTTTAAATATGACTTATTTATAATTTATCCCTCAAAATTTTAATAATTTAATATTAGTCCATAAAATTTTGAGCAATTTCAAAATTTTGTGAGAATAACATAGAATCATTGGATATTTAAAATCAAGAAACTAATATCTAAATAATATTTACATATTTGCTCTTATAGGCATTCTATTAAATATCGACCAATATATTGCTATATTGGCTAATATATCGGGTTAAATACTTTATCTTAGTTATATTTTATATTATTTTCTTTTGTTTGTTGATCTTTTTGATATATCGATCGTTATTGAAAATATGGTCGATATATCCCTTTGAAGATATCGAGAAAATTATGTTATTTTTAATTTAATTGTGAGTTGGGGTTTGGATCATGTTTGGGAAACAAAATCGAAACCTGCAAAACCCACAAAGCCCACAATTCTTCTCCTAAATCTCTCCACTTTAGGCTCTCCCAAATCTTAAGCATATATATTGATGCAAATTTTTATATTTAAAATTCATTAACATGTTAGATTATATATTATAATGTCATGTTATGTATGAATATTATCTCATATGATGCCTAGAATTACATACATATCCCTGATTTTTGCAACACGACATCTTGGATTTATTTCTTCAATATTTATTAATATCCAACACTTTGTAGTAGTCATTCAATCATCTTCTAAAGTTTTCTAAGCGTAGTATATAATTTTAGGAAATAATTAAAAATCTTGAGACTCATTCAAAATATGATGCTTTAATTTTTCCAAGCTCCTCTACTATATAAATATAAGCTAACTATCTGACCTCATATTGTATGATACATATTATTTATTAATGGGATGATATACTATTGTTTGTGGGTAACAAAGGTTTCAAATTTTTTGTAGGCTTAACTGAACTTTAAATACCTTGTAGTTTATCAAAATTATACTTATATACCTCCATTTTGTATCTTGCTGCACTTTTTTTTTTAAAATTTTAGATAACGAATCTTGATACACTTAAATATCCTAATATTTCTAAAATTTAATGTTTGTACTTTATGTCTTGTTACCTAAACATAAGAATGCTCTTTGTAATTTTCCTATATGGGTTTTATGGTATAATTTAGGACAATTCTATGTTTTCTAATCTTTTCATAAATACTTTATTGACATGCAATTATCAATTAATATATTATTATTCATTACTAATAATTAATATGATGTAGAGTTTTATAACAATGTTGGAAGTTCTAGGGACCAAATTATGCAAACTTAAAGTGATATATAACATAATTAATTGAGAATAATAATCAATTTAGTTTAGTTAGCAATAGAATATAATATCAAAAGAGAATAGGGGTAATATAGTCTTTAGAAAGTTTTTCCACAACTCCTTCAATTATCAATTAATATATTATTATTCATTACTAATAATTAATATGATGTAGAGTTTTATAACAATGTTGGAAGTTCTAGGGACCAAATTATGCAAACTTAAAGTGATATATAACATAATTAATTGAGAATAATAATCAATTTAGTTTAGTTAGCAATAGAATATAATATCAAAAGAGAATAGGGGTAATATAGTCTTTAGAAAGTTTTTTCACAACTCCCTCTTTTAAAGGGAGTATGAAGTATGATATGATTAGTATTTGAATTTTAAGAATATTTTTGTTTATTAAAAGATTTTCTCAAACTCATGCTTTCTATGATTTCATATACTATTGGCTTTTTCATATAAAACATATGAAGATTCACCATATATAACGTTATGTTGCAATTTCTGTCAGGATGAAAGCATAAAAATGCCTCGTTTTTCTTTCCGGTGGAACCGAGTAAATCTATATCAGCATAAAGGCTAAAGATAGATTTTTTTTTGCTTGAAATTGATGTGATATAGCAGATATGGCTTTAGACTTCCTTTTGGTTGTTGATATCTGAATGATTTATGTTTCTGCTTTCACCTTCATACTTGAACATTATGTTTTTTCATGTCGGAGATTGTGTTCGAATCTGTCTATTTAGGATGAGTAAAAATTTATTGAATAAATATATATGGATATCAGAGCCATTATTTAATTATTCAAGTTGATGCTAAGCAAAAGTGAATTTGGATCCTCTTAACTATTAAAAGATAGTGAGGAGACAATTACATTTGTTGATTCATCTAGTAGGTGGTTATGATTCATCCAAATCTAAGATTCACCATGCTCGTGCGATTTGCACTCATTTCTTATTTTACACTCAAAGACAATTCATAACCATCCATTAAACAAGTTGACAGTTACAATATTGTAGTAGTTCCTCCATTTTTTTGAGCAGAGAGGATCCGAATCCAAAACATGCTTACCGCAATTTATGTACACAACAAACATCCTCTCTGTTTCCGTGCATGTTTTTTTCCTTCCTCAGTCCGAAATTTTTCATTTTCAAGTTTCATCACATTTTCTAGTTTTGAGTTCCACGAGTCTTTCTAAGGAAAAAGAAAAGGGTTATTTGCACTCAAAATACCCTAAAGTTTAAATGATTTAGACTTTCATACTATATGATTTTTATTTTTTATTATTTTGTTGGTGCCCCAAACATACTCCTAAGTTTGGAGTTGTATTTTACCCTCCTAGCTTTAGTGCGATTAAAATGATTGACATATCTTCCTATGGCTTGTGTTCTAATGTATATTCATGGTGTTTTTTGGAATGAGCATGTGTTGCCGTGGAATAAATATGTTTAGTCAGCAGGCACCACAACAAAAGTTGCATGTATCCATATTTATTTTAAGGCACATATAAAAATGTTGTTTTAATTGCAAAGGATTAAATTGCAGCAACAAAAATAAAAATTGTCACAAGCCACAACGACACATATATATTTTTATTAAATGCAAAATAAAATAAAATTGAAAAAGGGCTAATAGCCTTACGTCGATTGTGTGAGGACACATTGATGGATTTAGGGCATGTTTGGCAACTACTTATTTTTTGAGTCCTTATAAGTTACTTATTACTTATTCTCAAAACTTTTCTTAAGTATGTAAGAAAATAAGAAAGTTATTCATAAACCACTTTAACTTATAAGGAGATATAAGTAATGTTGATGTTCGTGAACACACAGTTACTGGGGTGAATCATCATAGGCAATCTACTTTATTTGGTTGCGCATTGCTTGCTGATGAACAAGAAGAAACATTTGTTTGGTTGTTTCAGGAATGGTTAAACTGCATGCATGGAATTGAACCGGGTGCTATCATCACAGACCAAGACCGAGCAATGTGCAATGCCATTCATAAAGTCTTTCCACACACAAGGCATCGTTATTGTTATTGGCATCTGCAGCGACATATTGCCGATCATTTGCATACTTTGAATTCTGTTTATGGTGAAGAATTTCAAAAATATTGGGACTTGTGGTGTAATAGTAGTAACATTGAGAACTGTAATTTGCATTGGCTCGAGATGAAGGAGAAGTTTAAGCTAATAGAAGAAGAAGATGGATGGCTGCAAACTATGTACATGTATCGAGATCATTGGGTTCCATGCTTCTTAAAAGGCATTTTTTTTGCAGGAATGAGATCAACTCAAAGGAGTGAAAGCATCAACTCATTCTTTGATGGATATGTGAATTCACAAACACAGTTAAAAGAATTAGTAACTCAATATGAAAAGGTCGTGACACATCGACGATTGAGTGAAGCACATGAAGATTTTAGAACTCTTAATACAAAACCGCAGTTTCACCTTGGGCATCCAATTGAAAGACAAGCTGGAAGTAGTTATACCCGCACTATGTTTCATGTATTTCAGAATGAGATCAAAGGGTGTGGTGTTCTTGGCCTTCAAGAGGTGACTAAAGAAGAAAAGTTTGTTTTATGGCGAGTTGGTGACTTAGATGAAAGCAATGAAAAGTGGAGGTTTGTTACTTATGATGAATGTAGAGAATTACAGTATAGCTGCAGCTGTGGTATGTTTGAGAATAGTGGTGTTTTATGCAAACATATATTGTACACTCTAATGTTCAACAGACAATGTTGTTCATTGCCCAGTGTATATATTGTACACCGTTGGACTATAGATGCTCGACATCGTAACATAGGAGTTAGTAATGTTGTGTTTGGCAAAAACATTGCAGGCGGTGTAGAAAAAATAAATCTGTTGAAAACTTGGGCTTTGAAAGCAAAAACCAACAATGCACTGGAGCTTGCCTTTGAGTCAGATAAGAGAATGCATGAGCTTGATTCTTTGTTAACAAGTTTCATAGAGAGGGTTGAAGAAGAAGTCAGAGGGTGTCAAGCAATAGATGCTGGTAGCAGCCACATTCCGGACTCGGATATTCCACAGATACCTACTTCAGATACAATCCAACATATTCCACAAATTACAGTTCGTGACCCGGAAAAGCAAGCAAGAACCAAAGGTCGTCCACGCAATGCTACAAGAATTAAATCAACTTTAGAACAAGCACAAGAAAAGAAAGAGAGGCAAAAGCGTACATGTAGTAGATGTGGACAACTTGGGCATTATAGGACTAGCTGTACAGTTAACAAGCCCAGGTATGATTAATTACATTGACAAGTTAAAATATTTTATTACTTAAATCATGTTATTAATTTTATCTTTGATATTTTATGCAGCGAAACAGACAAACAAGACTAACAAAGTTTATGGCGATCACTTTTTAAGGATTGGTGAGGAAACTTCATTTTGCCTTTGATTATATTGAAGTAATGCAATAGTTTCAAATCTGTTACAGTATTTGTTAAAAAAAAATTTTTGGTTGATGGCACTACAGCTTCTACAGGTTAAAAAAAGAAATATATGTTGATGGGTTTTGGATGAGGAAGTTATGATGAAGCTTCGAGAATTCAAAAGTTGTTGTATTAAGACTCTGTTAATTTCAAAAGTTGATGAAGCTTCTACAGTTTCTTGAGTTTTTATGCGATATGAGATGTTGTATTAAGACTCTGTTAATTTTGTGCTTTAGTACTGGGTATCATTTGTACTTGTGAACTGGTCTTGTGAACTGGTCTTGAGTTTTTATGTGATATGTGAACTGGTCTTGAGTTTTTATGTGATATGTGAACTGGTGCTTTAATTGTCTAATTTTGTATCCGAATATTTGTATCAATTAGACTCAATGGAACCGTTGAGGTGGGCGTCAGTGATTCAGTCTATGTAGCGCAAACTTCTCTAATAGTTGACGTGATCCACTTCGGCGCTAGAAACCTTGGGCGTGAAGTTAAGAGTAGAGACTGGTTATGCTTTCGGAATCATAATTAGTGTGAATGGTGGCAATTTATTGGTGGAAGTTTGCAATAGTTAGTCACTTAGCCTGCAACGAGGTTTTTTGGGTTTTCTTACGTTTTTTTGCTCAACGAAGGAGAAAGAGGAAGATGATTCATGAGTATTGTCCCAACTTTATGAGTTTTGTCCTAACTAGTAAGAAATCCAATTATTTCAAGTCATGATAGCAATCTCCATATAAAGAAAAGGTAAGTGCTGTTAGGATATGAAGTTTTAACTTTTAAACACAGGCACAATATGTACAACCTGTAATAACTGAACCATGCTGTTAGAAACATGTTCAATCAGAGTCTGTCAAAAGATTTATATACCACACAATTTATATACCACACAAACATGCTGACATGTGCAGAGAATCACAAACATAACAACTGAACCATGCTGACAGTCGTTTACAATAGGATACTTGGATACATTAGTCATTCACTGATATGATGCTCAGTCATTTGACTATAACGCAAAGCAACAATATAAGTACAACGATACTTATAAATTTTAAATATAAAATTACACCACTCAACATTTTTTTCAAAACCTCAACATTTTTTTCCAGCCTTTCCAGCCTTTTTGTCATGTTCTTAGTATCACCCAGACTTCCAGCTGCCGCAGGGTGCCGTTGTTCGATCGCGGTCGCTTGAGATTTCGGTCGAAGAAGACATTGGTTGAGACTTGCAATAGAGAGAGATTTTATCTTGCTGATTGAAAATCAACGCCGACAAATTGAAAAAAGACGGCAGGCTACCAAGTAACGGAAAACGACGAGACTGGAGTGGACCAAGGGATGAAGTGCGCGTGTTTGGATAGTGGTTGATTAGCACCTAAACACCCTATCGTTTCCCTAATTTGCACTTGCATACCCTCACTTGTTTTTTTACAGCTCTTTTGAAAAGTTTCCAAAATTTTCTCCGAGTTTTTCCGCGTAACACGCTCACAAACTCATTTTGTAACCTTTGAACCATTAAATTTTGGAGAGGCATTAAGGACACACTCCCAACCACACCTCCAACCACACCTCCTCTCTTACTACTGCGCACTGGGACCACATGAGATTGAGATTTTATTTTAAAATCTCATGTGGTCCCAGTGCGCTGTAGCAAGAGAGGGGGTGTGGTTAGAGGTGTGGTTGGAGATGTGCCCCTATCATTTTCCTAAATTTTGTCAAATTTACTATTGAACTCATCACAATAGTACATTTAACGATGAATTCAACAAACATTAAAGGCTAAAATATTGTTCTAAAAAATATCTTATGAATGTTACATGAGAAAATTCGAGAAATGTACGATATTTGTATAACATAATATATTAAAGTGTAACTGTTAAAGCTTTAGGGTATATACGTGATACTAAAAACAAGCGAGGTATATAAATGCAAACTAGAGGAAACTACAGTGGTAATTAGCCCTTCAATAAGTACTCATAGACTACTTCTAGTCACTAGGCACTAGCTAACCTTTATTATAGAATTAGTTAAAAGAGCTTTATAAGCGAGTAATTTTTTTATTTTCGTTTTATTTTCCCTTAATTTCTAACATCAGTTACTTAAAAATGGATACAGGACAATTAATAAATTAGAATTAAGTTCAACAAAACATCATAAACATAAACCGTTCTCTAGTTCAAAGTACATAGTTCTGATAGAATGTTTAAATAATCAGCTGTAAGCGATAACAAAATGCATACAAGCATCCTTACCTCCAAAAAATTTGTAACAAATAATTTTACAAGATTAACAAGATCAACTGAATTAATGGTGCAAATTAGCCATACTGCACGCTCCGTGGTCGGCTGATATATGAGCTGCCAGTTAATAAAATGGCTGCATGAGTAGTTCTTGCATTTATTCGACCACGCACTGCGTCGTCCACCAAATCCAACCCCAGAGTTTTAACTGATTACAGAATCATAAAACTCAAATTCAATTTGCATCAGCAGATGGACCAAAATCCAGCTAGAGGTGTAGGAATACATGGAACCGTCTTGGGTCGGATGGAGCAGCTGCGATAAAATAATTTCAGTTTCATAAATTTGATAATTAACTGAAAAACCCCAAAAAATTAAAAAAAAAATTTATACACAATCAAAGGGCACCACAATCCAATATAAATTGTTCAAACACAAGTAGAAGAAGTAAGAAAAGACTCCCAGGGAACATTTTGGTTCAAGTAAATAAACACAAGCTTCCTGATTCTCATTTGTCGCCAAATTGCGTACTGTAAGATCCTCTTCATATAGAAGAAAAAATCCCAATATTATCAGTCGATACCAAGAAGGACAACCATCACGATTCATTAAACCAGTTATATCTTTGAGAAGAAGAAAAAATTAGGATAGTAGGAAAAACTAAACTAGAAAGAAAAAAAAGGAAAAAAACATTCATGAAAAGTAAATGACAGTTCACTCTTAACATATCAACAAAACATTAAAAATCCTTGAGAACAAACCCAAATGACGAACCTAGGTGTAAAATTTTGGTCCTATCCCATGGCCACATCTGCCAGAGAGAAGTGTGAATAACACTTGAATGAACTGTTTGAGCAAAAGAAAAGAAAAAATCGATGCAATTAATTCAACAAGCTTGGAAAACCTAAATGGGATCAAGTATACGAAAGCTAGATCCCGAGCTTAGGGCGTGTTTGGTTCAATTTCTACAAATTATAGGAAATGTTTTCCACCCAAAATATGATTTCATTGTGTTTCTTAAAAAAATTATAGAAAAAGTTTTGATAAGTCAAAAAGTACTACTTTTCTTGTTTTTTTTACTTTGCTTGTTTGGTTCAAAACAAGAAAATTGCCCATAACTTTATAGAAAATAGCAAGATTTCCTATAATTTGTAAAAATTGAACCAAACACCCCCTAAATATATAGAAAAGTGTCAATGTGGTATCAGATTTCTAGGTTATTTCTGCCCATTTTTAGAGAAAATTGATTTCTATAAATTTTGGTACTTTTTTGTACTTTACAAAAAAATTTGTGTAAATTTTTTTGAACCAAACACATTTTACGAAAATCTACAAAAATTTTTTAATTACATCTTGAGAAAAATTTTCTATAAAATTGTGCAGCCAAACACCCCCGTACCAAGCATAAATTTTGTGCTTGGTAATGATGTGTTATATTCCTATTCACTTATTCTAATTCTCAACCACTCCCCAACCCATGTGAATGTGGACCCTGATTTTAATGAGTAGAGGAGAATATGTCACCTCACTACTAAGCATAAAAACTTGTGCTTGGTACCAAGTATACCCATTCTCTCTCTCTCTCTCTCTCTATATATCTTAGTATTAAAAAATAGATGTGAAATTAGTTGCATATTAAAAATTTATGCACATGAAAACATATTTAGTGGATGATTGTTTAAAACTACATGTAATGTGCAGTTAGCATATGTTCTATGTGAAGAATGTATTTAATAAATGATTGTAAAATTGGTGAGTAAAAAATTACTTGGCCTTCAAATATTTTAACTCTTGTAGTTTCTTAATATGCATCACGTGCAACGCACGTATTGCATACTAGTATATATATATGTGTGTGTGTGTGTGTGTGTGTGTGTGTGTTTTATGTGTGTGTGTGCATGCATGTAATGATATTGAATTTTTGATACTAGTTAAAATAATTTTTTAGTATTTTAAAATATTTAATTATGATTTTTAAAAAAATATTTGTATTTTTCCCAAATTTCTAAAAAATTCTACGATTTAAAAGTCCAAATCTTATATTTATTTAAATAATTTTAATATTTATAAATTAATTTCGTGCGGAGAAAATTTCTAGAATTAATCTGTTGTGTTATCAATACTATTACGTATCATTTTAAATAATATGTTGTATTATTTCTACTATTACGTATCAACTATCGTATTAGCTTAACTGGTACATTTTATTATGTAGAAAGTTATCCTATAATTATTTAATTTTATATATAAGTAATTATATTTTTTATTAATTATTCTTGTTTAATTGTACAATTTCTTGTATTATTTTTACTGTTGCATATTATCAGTTGTCTTACTACAACTGGTACGTTTTGATGTGTAGTTAATTTTCACATAATTATTTAATATTTTTCATGATTATTATTATTTTTAATTAATTTTTAAAAACCCTAAATTCCCTTATATATATATATATATATATATATATAGAGAGAGAGAGAGAGAGAGAGAGAGAGAGAGAGATTAATGGGTATCCTTGTCATAGGAGGAGATTTCCTCCTTGACGCCTCTAAAATCACATGATTGAGCGACATTATGGATGATCCGCTCCGTTGAACTTGATCCTCTAAAATCACATGATTAACTAGTACTCAGCTCTTAAGCTTTTGACCAATAAGCCCGACTAAGGTAACTTGTCTCAGTCTAGATATTATACCTTGCTTCAACCTGGCCTAGTTCTATGAAAGCTCGTCTAGTTAAGGATGATTGAATTAAATCATATCATATCCTTATCCTTAACATTCCATGTTAAGGGATACTGATTAATAAGTAATCTTTTTAAGTTAGTGAGTACCGTAATAACCTCAATCAAGACACAAATCAGAGGTATCTTCCTCATCCAATGATGTTCGGCACCGTGGACTTACTTACAAGCGAAGTAATTACCATAACTACCATGTATGGCATATCCTTATAAATACGCTAGCCCTATTCTCAGGTAAGTGGATCCTTCATACCTATCATACTCTCTTTAAAAGCACGAGTTCGGAAAATCTTTTTTAGACAAATATACCCCTTTATAGTTTGAACTACCTTATCTATAATCAAATTCTAATTTTCAATGGTCAATATTACTCTTCACTATTTTGAATATTTTATTATATCTTAATCTATCCTAATCATAATCATATCTTATCCTAATCCTATGTAAACCATATTTAGCTTAATAATTTAAAAAAAACTAATATTAATAAAATATATAAAACATAAAAATGATATTAGTTTGTTAATATAAAGAAATTACAAGTAGATAACATGTTATAATACATGAAGTTTTGCAAAAAAACCATAAAAAGTTTTAAAATTGCAGAAAAGACCCTGAAAAGTTCAAAATTATAAAACTCATCCAAATGTCTCAAAACTTAAAATAAAAAACATGAAATCAAAAAATTAACATCAGTTTTTGCAAAGAATTTAAAATTTACAGTTAACACCTCAATGTCTAAAAAATTATAGAAACACCCTCAAAAGTTTAAATTACAAACAAGCACATTAAAATTTTAAAATTTTAAAACTTACAAACAACACAGATGAATTCAAGAGATTACCATGATACACCTAAAATTTTTGATATTTAAATTTAAAATTTTTAATTAACACCCTCAATATCTCAAAAATTATAGAAACACCTTTAAAAGTTCAAATTATAAAAAGCCACCTTAAAATTCTAAAATTTGTAAATAAAATAAGATGAATTCAAGATATTATTCGTAGACACCTAAAAATTAAAATTTGCCAAAATTGACATCAAAATTTTTAAAAAACTCCTTCAAAATTTAAAAATCGTAAAAAAAAACTTTAAATTTTCAAAAATTTTAACTAGCACACATCAAATTCATCGATTTGTAGACCGCTGAAATTTAATATTTTTAAAAATTAATCTATAGTTTTAATAATTACAAAAGACACCCTCAAAATTTTAGAGTTACAAGAAATATACTAACATTTAAAAAATTACCACCAACACATGAAACATAGAATTTACAACTACCAAACTTAAAAGTAAATTTTTTAAAAAACTCTTTCAAAATTTTAAAAATTATAAATCACACCCTCAAAGTTCAAAACCACAAAAATGGGCTAAAATTTTAAAACTTGGCAAAGAAAAGTGTAATTGTTTGGTATTTTTCATATATATATATATTAAAATTTCTAATTTAGGGATTTACTATCCATTTTCAGCATCTAAGAATAGTCTAAGTTGATACTGGTAAACAAAAACAATAAGAATTGATTAAAAACATCCGGTTAATGGATAAAATTTTTAAAAATATTATAGATTAAAAATTATCGGCACTATATAAATTAAAGTAATTTCATATAATTTTAGTAATAAGTTGGGGTAGCCAAAATACATTCGTAACATTAATTGATAGATGTTTAAATCCATAGAAATGATAAAACACTATAATATTATACCTTAGCATTAATTGATTTTAATTTAGAAACTTTAATCTTTGACGTTAATAATATTTATAGGGTAAAAGAATACAAGGAATTACATATGGAGAAACTATTAGAATATTTAGAGATAACTTTAAAAGAATTGAGTTATTTCCATTGCAAATGGGAAAGTGATGGAAATAAATCTAAAATTCAGAAAACGTCAATGAATCACTTGAATTGGCATTAACATAAGACATATCTATTAATGAAGCACTGAATGAGTTACATTAAAAAATAATTTAATAACTTTATCCTAATCAAAGAAAAAATCTTCATGGAAGACATAAGAAAAATTAGTAGGTATTCATAAATTCCATATTGTGTTCTTCAAATTAAATATTAATATTATAATCTAAGAGAAATTGGTAATGGATAATACATGTATTTAGTTTAGATCTTTATAGAAAATGACAGGAATAGAGCAAATGTAATATTATTGAAATAACAGAAATTCTTATTGGATGCACATCAGAAGAATTCATTTTAGAGGAAAATAAAGAGATAACTTTTAATTTATTTAAGTAATAAATTAGGAACACAAAGATTTTTATATATATGAAATTAATATTTATTCTCATTGAAATAGAAAAAAAATCAAAGTCTATATTTTGAGCTGTTTGTGTTGAACATCATAAGTACATTTGACTTCTTTGTAAAGTTAAATGAGATGATAAAAAATTAACGAGCCCAGGAAGATAAATAGAATAAAAAATAAAAATTAGCCTGATGTCACAATTGATGTAGATGATGAAGACAATACTCTAGAATTGTCCGAGAAATGATAAATGATAAACCTGAAGAATAATTGATCTTAACTTAATAAAAAATAAAATAGAAGAAATCAAAACAATATTTTATGAATATTTTATAGAATAGTTTAATTATTTTGAGTGAAATTAGGAATCTTTAGAAGGGAGTTTCATAAATTTTTTTCAGTACTTTTATATTCTTATGTGGATGTTTTTATCATATAAAAGTATACTAGAGTTAGCATTAATTTTTAATTTATATTTTTTTATGAAGTCTATCAATGATTAGGAATAAACTTCATATTTTATTTTGCATCATTTTAACATACTTTAAATTAATCATTTTGCTATATTGGTTTTAAATATTCACCTTCCTTGTATAACACTATTTTAATATTTTTTACTTTGCAATGCTATACTTTCTCAAATAAATCTTAGTTTCATATCGGTCAAAAATAATATAAAAATTCAAATTATTTTTAAATTATATTTGTTTTTTGTCAATTCAAATATCAACATGAAAATTTAAATTGGGTGTATCCCATTTAAACAAACATAAAAAAATAATCGAGATGTAAGAGTTTAAAGAAAAAATGAGCACAAACTGCCAAAAATACTTAATCATGGTATTAAATCACGTGCATTGCACGTGTGTAAAAACTAGTATATATAAATCTATGAACCCTACCCGAAAATCCTATCCTAAATTCTAAATGCTTAGTCTTCTTCATCAAGAGGCTAACTTAGGTATCAGCGTGAGTGGATAACTCACCTTCGTCAATTTGCTTTTTTTTTTCCTTCTTACTCTTGGTTTTTGTCACATTTGTAATGGTTATATGAGCCACGCACAGTTCGTTATTGGCTTTTGTGACTGTTTTGTCAGCACATTACATTGTTTTCAAGTTACGTATGCACTAATCATATGAATGATTGCACTACTTTTAAACTGTATATATGTGCAAGTTATTTTTAGCTCATATGTACCTTGAAATCTTTACGTTTGCAGTCCTCACACCTCTTATAGGATAAAGCAATCCTACAAGCTAGTATGTGTATATGAGTATATCTATCTATACAATGTATTTAAGAGAAGCTCCTTTTGATTTGTAAGTGATATTTTTAAAATAACGGAAATGATCGAATACTTAAAGAAACAATAAAATAAAAACGCCTTTCCATGTCGAAAAACCTATAGCAATGCCCTCTCAGTTAAAAAAAACCTTTAGAGATAGCCTCACCTTAAAAATATCTACAGAAACATCTTTACAGTTGAAAAATTTTAACGAAAATACTCTCACAAATGAAAAAAAAAAAATCCAAAAAACCATCCATTCCTTTGACAACTTGACTCTGACACTCAACCACATTCTGTGTCATGCACACATCGTATGTATCGAAACACTACTCAACAAAGAGTTAACTTTACAAGGTTCTTAAAGTTGGTAATTATCTTAAAATAAATTTAGAAAAATGTAAAATTTTGCAGGTTTAAATGACAAAGTTATCTCGAAATTGGGTTTTGACATATACCCATTGATAAGAAGAAGCACTGACCAAAACAAATGAGACGAGATGCAAAGGTGGAACTCCTATCCAGAAATCGAGTTCATCTTCCCCCGAATTCAATTAATTTATCCACATAAATCCAAAACATTTCTGCTGACTCGTCACTCCAACTCATTATTTAACCCCCTCATCCATTTTCATTTCGCAATAACAAATTCCAGCCTGTCATGACGAGGCTTCAGTAGGACACAAGGCATTTAATCCCCCCTCAGGGGCAAATTTGGCATTTCCAATCCACTAATTAATCGCACTTCCTATAAATAAGCATTGTTCCTCCGCTATCCAAATCCTATCCTTGCTTGTCTCAAAAAGGGGAAAAAAAAAAGAAAAAAAAAGAAAAAGAAAAGTCTCATTTTTACGTATCCTAAACGCTTCCTTCTTCTTCCTGCCCTTGAACCGAAATTGGACATTCTAGGGTTTTGGGAGCAGCTAGGGTTTTGGTCGATGGGCGCTGGGGTTTCGAGCGCGCTGGGGCCGGAGGTTGAGGGTGGGGCCCACGAGGTAGGGTTGGGGGACTTGCCGGAGAGCTGCGTGGCGGAGGTGATGCTCCGCCTGTCGCCGGCCTCGTTTGGGCGACGAAGCTCCCTGAGAATTACAAGTATTTGATGGACAAGGCCTCGGCCGAGAGCGAGAGCCTGAGCGAGAGCGATTCGAAAGGTGTTTTGACTAAGAAGGAGATTTATGCGCAGCTGTGCCGGAGGAATCCCTTTGATGGAGGGACTAAGGTGATGAATTTTGTGGTTTTTTTGGGGGCAATTTGGGTCTTTGTTGTTGATTGGTGTTTTTGGTTCGGTTGATTTTTTTTAGGAGTTTTGGATGGAGAAGAGAAGCGGTGGGATTTGCATGTCCATTTCGTCGAAAGCGTTGGCGATTACGGGGATTGATGATCGGAGATATTGGAATTATATTCCGACTGAGGAATCTAGGTATTGGTTTCGCCCTTTCATAATCTTATTTATCATCAAAATTTGATTTCGATTGGATTGTCCAAGAATTTAATTGCATGCTTGATGCCTCAGTTCTTGTTCAATAGATTGTGAATAATCACTTGGCCATGTTTATTTCATTGTGCTTGGACTCTTGAATTTTTTATATTATTTGAAATTTTTGGATAGAAAATGGTGATCTTGTCTTAAATATGCAATTTTTTTTTGTTAAATTGCGTTGTAGGTGTGTGTGATCTGAAGATTGATCCTCAAAACTTCACACCTTATTAATCTCTATACAGGTGTGATATTGTTTGCTTAATTTCTCATTTAGTATCCTCAGCTGGAGACATAAGAATTCAAAATGCACAATTATTTTCAATTAGCAATTTGGATTGCCTTCTGTTTTTCTTTTCAACAGAACTACAGGGAGGATGATTGCATGTTGCGGGATCGGATCTTCTTGTATATTTTTAGATAATTCAGGTTATTTTGGAATAATTCTGTTTAGGGTATTTTATGGCCTCAAATAAGTATTCATGTATTGTTTTTTTCATGTTTACGTGCCTGTTTAGATCATTTTTTTTCCTGTTTGTTTTTTATGATGTCCTTAAAACAGCAGAATGATTCCCTTCGTTGTTCAGGAGTAGGATTATATTGGATCTTCTCCTCTAATGCAAAGGAGGATGATTAGGGTAGATTCCTCACCTCGTAGGATGTGTTATGTAATAAATGAATTGTCCATTGATGTGTCAATTTCTCTGTTTAAGATCTTGATGTGTTTGTTTTTCTTCCAACTTGTTTGTGTTCGCTTACTCCTTTTTCCTTTTCTTGTCTTTCAAGTTGTAAAAACCTTTTGACATTTTGTTTATCATCTTGAAAATTCTTTCTTCTGATAATCTTTTTAAGATATTTCTATGAATATAAAATTGTTCAATCAAGAAAACATAGAGAAGTTATAGAAATAAATTATAATAATATTTGTGTTATTCAGGTAAACTCTTTTGGTCCCAGCATCAATCTTGAGTTTTCTTGTTCTGGAGTATATTATAGAAGGATTGTGACATTTGCACACATAATATTATAATGATGTTTGGACTAATCATGTAAAACCTTGAAAGAGGCGAAATTTCTTGGTTTCTTAGTATTTACTAGTCTGATTTTATCTGGAAATAACTGTTTAGTAAACTGTATTTTCTCAGTCTATAGGTCTGGTTTTAAGTCCTCCTTTTCATCTTTTCTCGGTGGGCAGTTGTAAGGGGTTTGCGGGTGGGTTGATTGATTCACAGTCAATTTAGGAAGCAAGCTGATGACTTTAAAGAGCTGATCTATTGAGAAATTGTTGCCATCTCTCGGAGCCCCTTTCAAGATTTCAACCACCACTCTCACCGTCTTTTATTGTTATGTTGTTGCTTTAACCATCTGAGCACCTCATTATAGACTTTAAGCAAAACTGTTATGGGGAAAAGGATAGACTTTCTTGTTTGTTGACTGGTGATCTTGATCTTTCACAACATTTCATTTATCAGCTTTAAGCACCTTATTTCGGACCTTGGGCAACTGTTAATTAATGAAACAAAAGGATGAACTATTTTCTTATTTGATGACTGGTGATCTTGATCTTTCACAACATTTTTTTATCAGCTCTGAGCACCTTATTTTGGACCTTGGGCTACTGTTAATGAAACAATAGGATGAACTGTTTTCTTATTTGTTGACTGGTTGATCTTCATATTCTTAACATTATTTGTAGCAAGTGTGATTAACATAGTTGTTTATTAGTTTTGTGAGAAGGTGTTACTATATTATAACATATTTTAAAGCTCATTCATAGTCCTTTACCCTCTCTCAACCTTTTTGACTCTGAAGATGCCTCCAGTAGTGATTCCTAAGTCTAGAACACTTTATCAATCATGCTTATCAAGTCAATAGGGTGGATTTCTCAAGGAAGAAAAAAAAAAGAAAAAAAAAAGAGCTATTCATTTTCACAAACCAGGTCATTATGTAGCCAATCTGTCAAAGAAAACGACCACATCTAGAATACTTATTATTATCCCTGATAACAAATAAGCCATCCGTTGCTGGAAAAACTTTAAATGCTTGCAGCTGTTGAACTCTGAATACATCAGTGCATTTCTTTTTGTTAGTCTGTTGTCATATATCTTCAACTTGGCTTTGTGAAGTTCAATTTGTGCTTTTTTATTGGTATTTGTTATTCTTTTTTTAGAACATTGATAACAACTTCAAATAAGATTACTGCTACACTTGTTAAAAGGCCTTTTATTATCACACCTCTACCACAGAAATGCAGTTTTATTTTCAATATTAGTTCTCAGAAATGCTAATCAAACAATTGGTCAAAAGGCTAAGGATTTCCCCCCAGCTATCTTCTAATTTTGGATTTATACCATTGTATACTAATGAAATGAATTGTGATTAGTAATTTGTTATGTTTATGATTTGGCATTGTATTGTATTCTGTTTTGCTCCTTTTGTGAGGTTGCAATAAAACCTCATTCACCCGTTATTTTTTCCCCCTTCAGGTTTTATACTTCGACATTACACCACGTGATTTAACTTATAACAGCCGCCTACTACATTCATTACTACAGGAACTAAGATATAGATTGACATCACCTCTTATTTCGGATACCACCTTTGATTCAACTTATAACTGCTGCCTAGTGTATTCATCACTACAAGATATAAACTGACGCCATCTCTTCTTTTAGATTCCACACGGTAGCCTACCTTCAACAAGTCTGGTGGTTAGAAGTCGCTGGCGAAATTGACTTTTGCTTCCCTCCAGGCTCATACAGTCTATACTTCCGACTACACCTTGGCCGAGCCTCGAAAAGACTTGGCCGACGAATATGCACCCTCGATCACGTGCATGGATGGGACGCAAAGCCCGTCAAATTCCAGCTACGCACATCTGATGGTCAGCATTCAGTCTCGGAGTGTCACTTAGATGAGCCAGGTGTCTGGAACCGATACCATGTAGGCGATTTTGTGGTAGAGAAGTCCAATGTATTGATAGTCAAGTTTTCGATGACCCAGATTGATTGCACTCATACTAAAGGGGGCCTTTGTGTTGATTCTGTGCTAATTTATCCTAAAGGGTTTAGACAGGATAAAGGTTTTCGGTCTTGTGTGTAATTTTTGTAGAATCAGAGCAAAATCACATATAGAAGATGGTTTTTTTAGTATCTTTCTTCTACATGTTTGGTATATGTTAGTTTTTGGGAGGGTTGTGAGGTGTTTTGTACTGTAAAGACTGGTTAAGCTGTTTGTTAATCGGATGCTTCTCGATGGAAAATATTTCTAAGATAATCTGAAATTCCATGAGAATGAGATAAGACAGGAATGACTGTATTTCTGTTGTTCTTTAGCTTGATAGAGATGTTATGACGGCTGGCTTTTCTTTGGATTGTTCTGAACCGCAACCATGAGGATGACGATGCTCTGATAAAATGGGAAAATCTTTACTGATGGTGTTGTCTGCTTGCTGTTTCGTGCATTTCCTGAAGTTCTTCTGGATCTTCCCATAATTTGGATATCAGATCTCTTCGTAAAGGACAAGAGATCTTTTGATAATTTTGGGTACAAATTAGAATCTCCATATTTTCGTAAAAGAAGGAAAAAAATAAAATAAAAAGATTCGCACAGTACAAGAGATCTGATAATTTTGGGTACAAATTAGAACCTCCATATTTTCCTATACATAAATAGGGTTATTTTATAGAAACCATATTTGATTATTAATGTTTACATAGATTACTTTTAAATAGTTTTTTTGTTGTAATCAACCTCATGGGCTGACTTTTAAATTAAGTTTTTTTCGATTTTGTTGGGATAATTAGTTGTTAAATACTGAGTATAGTAGAGATGTTATCTTTAATTGTGGTTAGATGGAATCAATTTCCGAAAAAACTTAGCTGAAAAGTGGGTCCAGGCAGTTGATTGCAACATTAAAAAAAGACTTTAAAGATGGTTTATGTATAAATTTACAATGAAATGTGATTTCAATAGAATTTTAAAGATGGTTTCTAAAACGTCTTTCCGACAAGGGAAAAAAACCCTTTCCAACATATATTATATCAACTAATAGTGTTTTGGTATTAAGCAAACATCAATAGAGTTTGTTAATTCAAAAAGATGAGGTATACAATAACGTCAATCTAGATTTGCATATTGAAGGCGAGCAATGTATGTATGGGTAGTTTTAGGGGTGTCCCGGCCCGGGGCCCGGCCCGGAGCGCGGCCCGAAAACCTGGGCCAAGTCCGGGCTCCGGGCTGGGCTCGGGCCGGCTCTTTGGTGCCCGGCCCGGGCCCGGCCCGGCTCGGAAAGTATACTTTCTCTTATATAAGTATATATAAGAATACTCTCTCTTATATATGTATAATGTATGTATGTATGTATGTATATACTTTCTCTCTTAGTATATATGTATATATAAGTATACTCTCTCTTATATAAGTATATATAAGTATATACTTTCTTATATATGTATAATATATGTGTGTGTATATATATATACTAATATACTCACTCTCTTAGTATATATAAGTACACTCTCTCTTATATATGTATACTCCCTCTTATATAATTATACTCTCTCTTATATATGTATAATATGTGTGTGCGTGTGTGTATACTCTCTCTCGTAGTATATAAGTATATATAAGTATAGTATATTACGACGGCTACTTCTTCCCCATTGGCCTAACGGACAACGGCTATTTATACGATTCTCTCTCTCTCAAGTTATAACTTATAAATATATACAATATATTTACATATAATATATGTATATATAATATATAGTTACATAATAATTTGTAAGTATATACTAATACATAATTATATAAAATATAATAATATTAAACTAATTTTTAGAATTTTTTTATAAAAAAAAGAAAAGAAAAGAAATTTAAAAAAACCTAGTTGGGATGTACTTATCTATTGTGATGCGATGAATTCCAAAATAAATTTATACTTGTAATTTGTAAACGATTTATTAATTATTAATAAAGAATTTATTTTATAATTTTTTATTTATAATTTATGTCATTTTAAGTGATTAATAAAATTATTATTTTTTATTAATTTTTTTGTATAATTTAAAATTTAAATAAAATTAAAAAATTTAGATAATTTTTTTTTTCAAAAAAAGTAAGTAAACCGGGCCGGCCCGGAACCCGGCCCGATGTAACCGGGTCTGGGTATGGGCTCCGATTTTGTCCGGCCTGGGCTTGGATTTCCGAGCCGGGCCGGTCCGGATGGACAAGTCTAGAAAGTTTATTTATCGTTTCGTCTAACACTTAAGTCAGCCTCTTGAAGATTGAGAAAACAAGCAAAGCAATTATGGCTTTCTTTTGTTTGTAGTTTCCTCTCACTAAAGAGGGTATCTTATAAGTTTGTGGGTGCTAACCTTCCTCTTCATGGGAGTGGCAAATTTTTTTTTTTCTTGATGGTTACTTCTTTTTTTGTCCTGTGATACGTAAGCAAGCCTCTTGTAGACGAGGAAACAAACATAGAAATTATAGGTTTTGTTGGTGTGTAGTTTCCTCTCGCTAAAGAGAGGCATCTTATAAGTTTGTAGATAACAACCTGGGGTGACTCCACTTATAAAACCACAGGACCCACCCAAGTTTCCAACCTCCCACCCGATTCCACCCAACTAGAAAATGGGAAATTCCACAAAATTCCTCTTTAAGTTTTGGGGTTAAAGTAACTCCCCTTAACTTCTGAAAAGTCACAAAACTCCCTCTTTAATTTTTGAAATTCTAAAAAAAACTTTAGGATCTAGATGCAAGCCTAGAAGGAGAGGAGGTTGAATAGCATTGCTACACTTTTTCGATTAAACAAAATATATTGTTTGATTAACAAATATTGCAATAGAAATAATACTAATCAACCAACAATGAAACAATAAGATAATCAACCACAGAAACAACACAACAGGACAATATAATTTTTATAGTGGTTCAAAAAATTCCTACCTCCACTATTCTTTCTCGATGGGGCTCCCACACTATGATGCCCTTGTTTTCACACATGGTGGGTTCACCTTGGACTGCAGCCATGTGTGAAAACAGGGACATCACATACGCTAAAGATATTGTTCACCTGGATTGCAAATCCTAATCTAATAGGTTTTACAAGATAGCTCACAGGATTCGTCCTAATCTAGTTGTCCACATCACAGTAATCTTATCTCTAGTGTATAACCTAGCTCCATACTAGTAACCCTCACTCTTAATTATCACCAACTTGAGCACTTCATAAAAACTGATCAAAAAATTGTAAAAAGAGTATTTGAATTACAATAACAATATTAATTAAACTCAATCGAAAAGCTTTTATAGCCATTGTTGATCAAACCTTTCCCCTAAACTTAGGAGTTTAGATTGGGAAGAATGATGATGAAATTGGCGATGAATGTAGATGACTATAGATTCACTGATGACGAATGCGATGATAAAGTGATCGGATGAGCTATAGGGTGATCCTGATGATATTTGATCTTCCTTCTTCAAACCCTAGGTCTTCTCTCTCTTCCTCTCTCTATTTCTTTCTCAATTAAGCCAAAAAGGATTATTAGAAATGAAATAGGAGAGGAGGTATCTTAGCTACAGCGAATGGCTAAAATTAGATCTCAAAAGCTACTGATTCGATGCAGCCTCATTGATCAACGACACTACCACATAATTGATCTATTGCAGCGGTTAAGACGCAACGGTTCTAACTGTTGCGTTAGATATCTATCGTAACGGTTTACAGTAACTAATACAACATTTAATGAAAAACGTTGCCATAGACCAAATAATTATTCATGGGCTTAATATTTGTTAGTGGGTTTAGGAGTTGAGTTTGTAAAGCCCGGTCTGACCGTAACCAAATCTCTCTCTCTCTCTCTCTCTCTCTCTCTCTCTCTCTCTCTCAAATGAAATCCCTAAAATCCCTAAAATCGTCTCCAAAATTTTCCGATCCTTAAAATCGCCGTGGCCAAGATCTCGTCGCTGTTTTCGGATCAGATCTCATCTCCAAGCTCCTCTCCGATCTCTCCGATCTCATCGCCGTTGGTTTCGTCGTCGAGCTAGTCCCCGTTTTCTAGGGTTTGCCATTCTCTCCAATCTCTCCGATCTCATCTTCGAGCTACTAATCTCAAGTTCAGTAAGGTATTGGAAAGTGACTCGATCTCGGTGATTTTTTAGGTTCTTTCATCTCGTGCATGTCGTTGTAGTTGTTGATGTAGATTTAGGGTTTAAATCAAAGCTTTGAGGATCATTGCTCTGGAAATTCATTTCATTAATTGCTTCAGTTTCTGGTTATATCTAGGTTTTTACAGTAAATTGGAAACTATATGCTCAGATTCAGAACTCTAAAAGATCATCTTTTAGTGGTCAGTTCCTCAACTATGTGATGCTAAAATTGTATATGGCAATCATGATCACTTTATTTATATGATATGATTTTTTTTTGCTCCATGTGTCTTGGTAAAATTCTATAAGTGATCACTTTATTTATACGTGTAAGGAACTCTTCAATTTTTTTGCACAACTTGGTGAATAGTTTTAGTAAGTGGCCCAGCTATTTGAGGCTTCTGTATTTATCTAGAATTAGCGTAAACAGACACAAATTAGAAGGAAAAGGTCATGCTGATTTAGTGTAATCTTTTTCCTAATTTTGAATTTTGAGCTGGTTTGGACCTAATTTAGATGATGTTAATGCAAGATAAAAACTTTCCCTAATTTTGTTTCATTATATAATCGTTACTATATTTTACTTCAAAAAGTGTCTTTCGGCGATACTGATGGATGCAGATTAAATCCAAAAGTGACCTTACATAACCTTATAAAAGAGAAGCTTCTATGATCAATAATAGAAATATTTTCAAGTACATTGAGCATATTGGCATATGTTTTTAATTAAAAAGAAGAGCAAAAGTGATGTTATAGTTAGTAAAAAATTGACATAACTATAGCTGTATGTTTTTAAGGTTACATGCTGTACTTATTTAAGAAGCAACTAGTTGACGGTCACGTAAGATGGATAAGATTGTTGCTATCTTAATGCTCCTTTTAGAGTGGCTAGTTCAACTTTTGAGAGTGACAATTCTCCATAAGGAACTAATTTAGTCATTTGTATGTTGGCCTTAGCTTTAATACTTAGTTGGTCTTCCAATCTTCTTTTTACTGTGAAAAGGATATTATGATTATTTGGACTACGCTTATTCTGTGAATGTGGCATGAGTGAGGAGCACAGTTTGCATTATGCTGCCTGTAGAGGGAGTCTCAAGGGCTACCAGGAAATATTACTTGCATTATACTTCTTTTGATTTCAGAAACTAGC